AATGTGTATAGGTTTACAGATGTAGGTAGAGGTAAAACAAATCCCATAAATTTGCTATATGTGTAGCAGGAAGGATAATTAAAGCAATGTTTCACAAGAAATCAATCAATGTTTTTTTTTTATCTATGATTATGTACGTAATATTATTACAAGGTGTTAAGAAATGCAATTGCATAACAAAATACGAGAGAAAAATGTAGCTGCAGAGTAGCTAAAGTTTTGTGCAGTTCTTGTAATGTAATTAATAATATATAATCATTTCAAATAATATTATTATAAAATAGTGTTTAAATTAAAAAAAAAATAGTATAAATTATTACAATGTGTACATTAACCGGTAAAAGTAGATATATGAAGCAGATTTAAACTCACATTTACCAATCATTCTAGTAAGTATGTACATATACTTACATATTTTGTATTTTTACCATAAAATATATATTATAAATATAGAAGTTTTAATACTAAACCGTTTATGTAATGAATTTGTTTTATTTATGCGTTTAAATATATCTTTATAAGAAGATGAAATGTACTTGTAACCAAATAACTTACGCATCCTACATACACTACGTGTTAAGTAGTGTGCATAATGTGTGCATATTATTTATAAAATTAATTGGGACAATTAAACGGAATAATGTAACATTTGATTTATACTGAATCTCTAGAGGAATTATATTATTTACAGTCTACTTGTATTAACACTACAAGTATATTGTATAATTGGCAAGTATATTGCCACCGTAATAGAAATATCAAAGCTAATTATCATTCAACAATGACGATCAATTGTACTTGTTTTCCAAATTTCTTGTGCAACAATGAACGAAATGTGCGTCACTGTTTACATCCCTTTTCAGTATTTTGCTAAGGCCCTTCCTGCGAGGGTGGTTAGTTTGCATTCCATCTTTCCATTCTTTGCAGTATTCAACGCCCCAACGAACCTACGGCCCTCTTGCAACCAGTTCCCTCTCTAGCGTCGCGTCGCATCGTGTCCTTCCTTCCACAGTGCCTGTCTCAGATGCAAATATTTGCGTCGATGGATTTTGTGGCGGCTGGATTTCTTTAATCTTGTGTAGATGCCCGGCGGCGGAATTAATATAAACCTTTTTCCATTCCGCAGCTACAGAGCCGTCGACGCCGCCGCCGTCGTCGTCGTTCTCTTCTTTATCCTTCCCCCATTTTTGACTCTTTCTCTTGTCCGCTGTCCCCGTTCCTAGTCTTATTGTCTGTCTTTCATAGTTAAAATAGAATGAGAAGGAACAAAAAAAAACTGAAGGGGACAAGAATGGAGGGTATCATTTTCTCCCGTTTGATATTCGTTTTCTCCCGAAAGAAACGCAATCTGAAAACTGATTTTCAACTGTTTCATTTTTTTTTTTGTACGGAATTCTGTGATTAATTGAGAAAAAAAAAACATGTAATAATTGCTTGCTTTTTCATTAATTTACACGATACATAAAATATTTTTAAATTAATTACAGACATATTCTTAAAGTCGAGTAACTTTAATACAATCGAGTAAAAACAAGTTTTTACTGAGATTATTGCTATTATTCTATTTTAGTCAAAACTCCAAATAATTTTACACTTTTCGGAAAATGATTATTATTCATTCTACAAAAGATCTTCAAGAAGTCTGGAAAGAATAATACGAAGATTCAAAAATAATTCCTAAATTAATTATCCTCAATTCGTTAATAATAATAGAATATCCAAAAATTATGCAGGACAAATATAGTGTTCTAACTTCAAACTTAAATGTATAAGAAGATTTGGGAAATGTGCACATTTACCAAAAATAGTTTACGTTCACTTAACCATAGTAAAACATACATATATCACATCTCAACTGATTATAATTTAGGTAACGTTTTAAGTATGTAAGCTAAGTAATTGTTTTCTTCTTGGGGGGGTTATTAATTTTTCTATCCACGTTCTGCACTATCCTCCTCCTTTTTTTTCTCATCTCTCTCCTCCACACATGCACTGTTTACAGATTTTATCTTTGTTGCGAGTACGGTCTTTTTTTTTGGCCGTGAAGCGGGACGATAAATAAGAATTAGACTGCGTCGGCCATCGATCATCTCGCTGCACGGGCTAAGTCCCGTCCCGTGGGGGCGATCTCGTGGGGGCGGGAGACAAACCACCCCCTCGCCACTACACCCCGCAATTCTGCCGCCGCGTGCCGTCCCTACTATTATTATCTTCTGGTTCCTCGAGTGCCTCGAAGGGGTGAGATGGGGGACGGGATGAGCGTCTTTGAAAATTGGGGGGATGCGAGCAACAGATGCCCAGATGCAACAAACTGGTCCAGCATAACAATTTTTATTTTCAAAACAACCCTCTACAGATTATCTTGTTTTCTATGTTTCTTAACACTACGGTTATACAGATTTAATAATTGAAAATGTATGTTGAGTTTCTATACGCATGTGGAAATCTGCTTCTTATTGAATTTTTACACACGTGTATAAAACTGTTCCTTTGGTATCTTATTTAAGATTTTTTTTTATTATTTACAATAGTGAGAAAAAATTAAAAATATATATATTGGAGATTGATCCAGCGACCAAACTCCATAGAGTGCTCATTAAAGAAAAAAATCACGTGTACCCAAACAAGTCTTATTGTCAATTTAGACACTAACACTAACTTTAAAAACGATTAGGTCCTGTCCTGTGGTTTGAACCGTTTCAATCTTTTATCATCCTTCACAAATCGGACTTCAGTATATTGATGAATGTATTCATTAGTCGAGAACCAGGGAGCATTGGCAATTTCTCTGAGCGTTTTTCACTGGAACCGCTGTATGATGTCAATACTTGTATTACCATAGTTGTAATCCATAAGTCCATAACGGTTTTATTATCGTTTTATATATTAAAACTTTGTGATACAATTATTAATACAACCACAGCAATACCTCGCATAGTGTATATAAACTGATTGAAACCAGACTAAAGGAGGATTTGACAGGATAAATTAAAAAAAAAAAACTATAAAATCAAAATTGTTTACTAAATCCAAGAATATTATTTTTTTTCTGAGAATTATTCTGCAAATTAGTAAATTATGACTTCAATAAAATTAGATTTCAATATATTATCTAATAACTGGAAAATTCTACTTTATGAATATATATAAAGTATAATTTCCTAGTTTATATGTATTAACTCTTTGAGGGGCCAGAAATTCTTAACGACAAATTTTTTAGACAACTGAATCAATATCGGATGATATGGACAATCAAAATTCATCCCTTAAAATTTTTTTGAAATTGATAATAATGCCCTTTAGAATCAAGACATTTTATTACTATAAAAATTAACAGAAAAACGTAAAATCATAGCGAGAAAAAAAGACGGTGCGAAAGATTAAACAAGATCAGTTAAAGATATTTTACTTGTATAAGACATGTTATTGAAAATTTGTTCAAGAACTTTTAGCGCTGCTAAATAAATAGTTGCTGTTAAGAACTTATCCCGTTTAGGTTTTGCAAGCATAAGTAGTTCCAAAGTTTATATGTTATCCAGTATAAATCGATACTTGATAAGTTATATAAACTATATTACTCAATTTAAAATATTTTTAAGGATCTAAGAAATATGATCATTACATTTATCTTAATATTTTTGTCTAGATCAGGTTTCCCTAACAACAATTTAAAAAATTTAGTTCAGAGTCACATGAATGTCCCAAATATACTTAACAAGATATTTAGCATGTATGAACTAAAAAACAATAATCGAAGAAATAATACTGTAATTCTATATAAATTTTGGTATGTTTCAGGTTTATGGCTGTTGTGTATTGGTGTTTAACCGAGGTATTTGTGATTTTGTCGTTTTTCGCAGCATCGAATGCACATTACGACGATTTAATAGACGTAAGTATATATTATTATATAAGGAACAAAGTGGTAGATAGAGAAATAACGATAATGTTCGGGGATGGAAAAATTTGAGCGATTAAAGGGAGAGTAACGAAAATAAGAAGCAGTACCGAAAAGTTATTTCAACTTTTAGTATTGGATATTGAGAAGATGTGTGTACTTCGTTTGCCGATGCCGTGTAAGAGAAAATTGTAGGGTTTAATGCGTGGTCGTGGGCGTATGAATTTTTAAAGCCCTTTTAGCGGTTAAAGTAAAACAATAATTTTGGCTCTTATTAACTCATTCGGCTCGAAGTGGTCCAATAATTTAGACGGCCCGGGTTCAGCCTCCCCCAACGTTAGGCGCCCTAAATTATTTTATTGTTCCGGGGTAGTTTCTTCTAAGGGCGGAATTATAGTTCGGGTTATTTGTTGCACGTGTACACTCAATAAGTATACATGGGCGTATTTATATGTGCCATTTCGGAATTTACTGCCCCAAAACCGATACACGTCAAAGTGGGTGGAAGCAGCGGCGGTGCGGCATACCGGCAACCACCCCCCCGCACCCCCTTATAAGCGGCGGCCGGGGAAAGCGGGGTTCAAGTTTTGTGCGATATTGGGGAAGGTTGGCCATGATATTAACGCGCCCTCTCGTCGACGTGTATTATGCAACGTATCGAAACGGAGGCGGCAACGTAACCCCCCGAACGGTGTGCGCCATCAGTGGAGAATGTGTGTATAAGTTTGAGTATGTGTGTATGAATGAGAGAGAGAGAGAGAGAGAGAGAAAACGAGCATTAATACTAAATGCACACTTAAAATATGTTTGTGGCGGTAACCGCCCTTCGCCCCTTACCGCTGCCGCCGCCGCCACACAACCTCCAGCCGCCTCCAGGTCACGACGGCTTGCACCCTTTTAATGGAAACCCCATCTGCTTGCCATGAACGCGATGCACTAATATCTCAACTAGGCTAGTTAATAAATTACATAAAGCCACTCGAAACCCACCCCGAACATTCAACAGCCGAAAACCCTTCTGCACACACGCAACCACCACCATCACCCATTCCCTCCTCCACTTGTTTGAGCTAGATTATTCTAATTGTTCCAGAGAGTTCGTATGAGCAAGAGCAATGATCCGGAGGTGCAAGATTTCCTGCGTACCGTGCTGAGCCATCGCGCCGACTTCCGTTGGATCCAAGGCGAAGCGTCGAGGTTCCATCGACAGGATCAAATCCTTCCACTCAAAGGTGTCCCGTACAAAAACAAACGAGCCTTCTACTCCTCCCTCACCGACTATCCACCGTACGCCAATTACGGTTACAGGATGTCCCCAAAGCATGATCAATTCCTCATCGACAGACCCATGAATGATGCCTACCCGTACGAGGAAGACGCCATGAAAATCTACAATAAAAGAAGCATATTCGCGGACGACGAGGATGATTACGATAACTATAGCAGAAAAAAGAGGGATCTGCAGTATCGGAAATACGATTCTCCTGCGGAGCGAATGCTGGATGAGAAGTTAAGATTGAGGAATTTGCTGAGAAAAGGTGGTAACCGAATGAACGCAAAAGATTTTGATCAAAATATGCTTGTCGATATCATCTCGGATGGCGAGAAAGGAGAGTTGGAAATGCCTGGAAACAAATACGAATTCAAGACTTTGGCTAAAAGAGACTGTGCAGAAGATCCTAACGAGCACGATATCAAAATAGGAAATGATACTCTGGAAAATCCCTTAGGTGAATTTTACTATTCGATCCCTCATGACATCCTCGGAATGTCCCAAGATCTTCCCGACGAACCTCCATCCCCAAACAAAACCTGCATCAAGTATAAAAAAAACGTGAGGCAAGTACGCTCCATAAACCTTGATGGTCTCCTAAATCCGCGCAGGAAAAAGCAAGGAAAAACCATAAAAATCAAAATCTTCGACGATGGTCGTCTAGTGAAGAACATCAAAAAAGATGATGGCACTAACTCAATAGTACTGACAATCAAGAATGATGCCACGACTGAACAACAACTGCCAACAGGAGATCTCAGTAGTCGATATCTCCTAGAACTTAACAGATACTCCAACAAAATGAATGCACCTAGAATAACTTATGATTCCATCAAAGATGACGACACTCTTCAAAAAATTGATACTATATTGAGGAACGACGAGGCAACGCTTAAATTGAGTGCCCAAATTCCAGTTCAACTCAAACAAAAACCGGCTCAATCTATCAGCGACATCGTACGTGAAAATAGCCTGCACGAAAGATCTCGAAAAGAAACTCGGAGTGATCATCCCAATAGCGAAGAAGAACCTGAATCGTATGCCTATCGTCCTCAACCTATTTCCAATTCCAATGGTAATAGCCCACAAATTTCAACGAACAACGCAGCTGCTAAACTTAAAGAGAACTACTCTAATAAAAATCATAATTTTAAAAAGCAAGCTGAAGATACCTTTCCAACTGTGCAGAATCGTCTTGAAGATCAAACGGAACCCACATCTGCTGCGGAGCAAAGGGAGCTTGGTAAGATCAATAATAAATTTCAAGAATCAAGTCCAATGACGGATATGGTAAGCACCGAGAAAATGATTGTAATACCGTTCAAAAAGAGCGCTGATGAAGAAGTATTGGAAACTGATGATGACACTGATAACAAAAAAAGACAGATGAATAGGTTCCATGTGAAGGATTCCAAAGACATGATTCATACGCTTAGGAATAAGAAGCAATCGAGTAATGAGAATCACGTTGACGCTCATTTAAGAGATGCTGAAAATGTTCTTGATAAATTGAAAGTTGACTTGGAACATACTATTAAAGAAAATTTGATAAACAAAGATGTGATGCCACTTGATAAAAGTGTTGCACTTACCGAAGATAATTCAGATAAAGGTCATCTGGAACGTAGCAGTCTTAACTCTAAACTAAAGAATGATTTGTTGGATTTCCTAGAAACCGATGATGAAACCAGTAATATCACGGATGAGGAAGCTAATGAAATTCTAGATAAGTTATCGGAGAATAAACGAAAGAAACGAAATTTCGACGATTTGAACTTAATGTCCAGTCAGGATTTCAACGATTTCTTGAATTCATTAGAAGAGAAGGAAAATGTTGCTGATCCATTTGAAGCAGATTACGATTTAGAAAATAACAACGAACGTAAAGGGAGAAGTTTCAATTCTCGAACTTTGAAATCAATTGAATTACCAAGAAGCAGACGTGAAAGGAGTTTAAAAGATTTACTAGGAATGACCAATGATGAAGACTACTCCGAAGATAGGATCGATGATTATATGGATGTGAAAAGCAAACGTTCGGAAAGTCACCAAAAGATTAAATCTAAATCTAAAGCAAAGTCCAAGAAGAGTAAGTACAAGAAAAACAACAAGAAACATAAAGATGAAAAAGTTGAAAGTGTTGCCAAAGAGGAGATAGATAAAACCAAGAAAAGTAGTAACAGTAAAAAGGTGAAGAAAGATGTCGAAGAAGTGGAAAGACTCGAGGAAAAGTTAAATATATTTACCAATAATTTGGATCTTTTGAAGAAACCTGATGGTAAGATTGAAGAGAAAAGGGATAATGAAAACTTTATTGACGCTAATAACGCAAGAGCTGTAAGGCGCACATCAATTTTTAAAAAAGTAGACAAGGAACCGAAAACTAATTATTTGACGCAAGAAAGTGATGATAACAGTAAACAAGATGATGACAATAAACATATTGAAGAAAATTCAAAAACCAATGATGATTCTAATACTAAAGAAGATGACGAGAATATCAATAGTGTTGCAGAGAATGTGCCCAGGCAAGTAGATGAAACTTTGGGAAAAGCTGAGGAATTCGATGAACACGATGGCGAGGATAAAGTAGATAATCCTGTGGGTAATGAATTGGATATTATCGAGAAAACTCAAGCTATTCTTCTACATATAACGAATCCTCCAACTGACTGCAGCACTTCAAGAGGTGAATACGATGATAGTGATGATATGAGTTCATACGATGGAAAAGCTATCAGGCATAGAGATGAAGGCGGTTTGAAAGTGAAACATCAAAGGGTTTTCAATTTAGTTGATAATGCCGGCGACGATGTCGTCGGAGAAATAATGAGAATTGTAAACAATTACAAAGAGAAATCGCTGAGGAGCAACAAGAAAAATGAAAAAAAGGTCCACGAAGATGAGGATGAGAATAACTTGGCAAATCAAACTGGAAAGGATCATATGGATAGGCTTCATCCGAAGATTGTTAATATGAAGACGTGTCATCGGAGACCAGGAACCGATCATAATTATCATCAAAAGCATACTGAAGATACAGAGTTTGTAGCTCCTAAACCAGTAAAAGAAGCATTCACTGATTTGGATGGATCAACGTCCAATAATAAGCAGGAAGAGGAAGAATCGTTCAACATCAAACGGGATTTGAGGAATGACGAAAATCCTATGCAATTTACACCTGATAGCTTTGAAAGTTTCAAAGATGTTATCGAAGAGAAACCTGATTTTAGCAAAAACAAGCTGACAATACGGTTAGCGAGTAACGCTGAGCGCGATAAAAGGTATTTGAAAAATTTAAAGAAGTATAAATACAAGAAAAGGGTTAAAAGGGATTTAGATCAAGATGACGATGAGATTATTGATAACTTGCTATCGCCCATGCAACCTACAAAGAAAAGATATCGCCGATTCCAGAACGTCTATTACAATCCGTATTTGTATAACAATTTTTTGAGATACAAACTTCAGACTCAAAATGTTTCGGAGGAAGTAACAACACACGCAAGTTCGAGTAATCCGAGTCCCGAAGCAAGTGGCAATGGTACGACTGTAATGCCTCCTAATGGTGTAAATCAAACCGTAGCAGCAGGCAACGAGACTTGTCCTGAAGATGTTACAAGTAATCCGCTTGATAAGCAAACTGATAAAGGTAAGATGAGCCATGAAGAAAAGAAGAAGTTGAAAAAGAATAAGAAAAAAATGAAGGACGAGTGTCTGGAAGAAGAAACGTACGATCTAAGACATAAAGGTGACGAGAACAAAAGTGAAACTGAAAGGGAGAAGCAGCTTCGGATTAAGAATAGGGAGAAGCTCAAGGTTTATAATTTATTTATTTTTGTGTGTGATTACGTGTAAATTATTATATGCTTGCAGAATGATAGAATGGAAAATCGACAAAAGGAGAAGGAAAGATTAAAAACGATTTTAAATGGTCATATGATCAATGATATACTTACGAATTTCGATATAAAATTGAAAGAGAATGGTCATCTTTTCGAGCGTTTCAGCAATTCGATTGGCAGGCAGTGCATCAAGGATCAAGTCGTAAGTTCTATTATTATTAATTATTTGTTTATTTGTATGTATTTTGTTATTTAAAGAATGTAATTGAGAAACGAAGGGATGAGCAATCAAAGAAAGATATAAAACATGCGCAGCTGATGCTGCATCAAGTTATAGTGATGTTGAATAAGATTGTCGCGGATCAGGTCCATCGAAGGACGTGCCTGGCGCTTCCACCAATTCTGGATAGTTTCCTAGGAACATTGGCCACTCCGAGCATATCAACTAAGAGCAAACAGATCTCCGAAGGATATCCATTACCTGAGATACATGGAAAGAAGCCGAACAGCAAGAATGGAAAACCGGATGAAAAGCAAGGCGATTTTCTCTTCGATCACGAGGACGATGGGAAGCCAGGTTCTCCGAACAATGAGATAACGATGAAAAAGAAAATTGTGCTTATCAAGAAGTTACTGAATAAATATAACAATATGAGCGATTCGTGTCAGATTAAAGTGGAACCGGTGAGGGATTATCTCGTGGAGCACCTCAGTATGCTGGAGAAGCTGTCCAAGGAGAAGAAGACGGAAGTCGATGAGATTTGCACGGCGCTCCCAGGTTTCGAGGGAAACTGCACGACGACGACGGCCGGTCCTGCAGCAGTCAATCACGGACACAAGGAGGCCGGAAATAGCACTGAACATGCGGCCGGAAGTTCGACGGTGACCGGAAACGAGACGAGTTCCACTGTTGAGTTGACGACAACTGGGACGGCGACGACCACTACGACGACGGCGGCGTCTCCGCACGACTCCAATCCTGCAGCTAGATCCTATTACAATTTCGAATATCCGGATCGTTTCCGGTTTCTGAACAACGACAAGAAGATACTTTCGGATAGGTATAGGAAGTTGGTAGAGGCGGCGGATAGTTATAGGCGAAAGAGGCAGATCGAGAAAAGGCTTGTCAGGTTATTCGGAGGCGGTGGCGGCGGTGGTGGTGAAAGCGGCGGAGATGCAGACGCCGTTGAAACGCGAGAGAAGAAGGAAGTTCCGGACTTGAGGGATATCGCCTTCGAGGCTCCCATTGTGTACAGTTTGGATGACTGAAGGAAAGCTTTAACACTTATATACAAGTTTTATATTATATTATTATACTTTTTAGATGAGTAAAATATTTAATTCTTTCTTATTAAATTTGATTTGCATTTCTCAAAACTAAATACTTACCAATTAAAATAATACATATTTTGTTTCTTCTAAATATTACATTTAGTTGATTGATATTCTTGTAGAAGAGAAATAATTAAGTAGCAACAAAAAAAAGTGTGAGAATGATCCATTAAGATCAATGTGAAAACAATTTGAAAATGAGGGTACACAAATTTTATATTTTACAAAAAAAATCAAATAAACAAATTAATAACATTTTATCCTTGAATAAGATGTTAATAAATTAAAGAACTAAATAAAAAAAAAAACTAATGTTATAATTAAAAACAACAAGTTTATAAATACGATTGACAAATTACGAAAGTCATGCTTATTGTGAGGCGGTAACTAAATTAATGACTAACTTTCATTAATATGAGGTTAATCGAATTGCAGTTTCATGAATTATATTTTTCATACATGACTAATTGAATGCAAGATTTCTTAATGGTATTATTAATTAATTGAATACAAAAACAAGAAATTACGATTTTACATAACATCAATGATTTGCTCATAATGGATTCAATATGCATTTAATTGAATTTTTAATATTTATTTAAACTTCTTCATTGTTTCAAATATCGCAACCAAAATGATAAATAAAAATTATCAATGTTTATTAAAAGTACATTTTACACATTTATTATTTTTTAAATTAATATAATAATTATTATTATTGATCTATAAAAAAAAAAACTTGTATGGTTTATTTGCATTAATCTAATTAAATGGATATAATCGATATGAAAATGTAACATGGACTTAAATAATTATGGACAAAAAAGAGTGAAAAAATGACATGAATGATTGTGTTATTTATAATGTTCTTTAAATTTAGTTGTTTAATTGGTATGAATAAACAAATTATGTTGGAAGTGAATAAATCGACGCACGAATGAAACCTTTTTAAATCTAACGACAATCGACTACATTTATCTGAATATAAATACAACAGGCTGCTGCGATTTTGCTATCCTTTTTATGGATGGATACATATATATATTTTCCCCCGAACCTCCCCATTCCAGTTCGATGTGTCCCTCGAGTGTCCCATATTTTATAATCGTGACTTCGCTATATCAATTTGAGATCGACGTCGAGGTGAGGGCAGGAGGCGGCGGCGGTGGTGGTTTTGGTTTAGGTTTTACTACTATAGCTGCAGGACGAGGGTGGTTGCTGGAGGCATTATTTACGACAGGACGCGCCGCACTCGTATAGAACAATTTGCCGCCCCCCCAACACAGTGAAACTCGCTCATTCTTATCAATAACACCAGGAATTATATCGGCATCCGGTGTTTGGTAGGGAAGGGGTGGTGTTCAGAAGGGGATCGGCCGGCCGGCCGGCCGCACACACTCACCCCGACACTTTTTTTCCCTTATTTCCTTGCTGCAACCGCTGAAAAATATATGCCCGACGCCGTCCGTAAGTTCACCCATGAGGCCACTAATCGGGCTCATTTTTAACACACCCCTCCGACCCTTTCGTTTCTTCTTCTCTCTTTTATTTTCGAGATCCCACAAGAAACGAAGACGAACCGAATCCGACTTATAAACTCTACTCGGTAGGGATCAGCTCGAGGGTTTCACTACATATGGCAGATATATATTCCAGACTTTAAACACAACCCCATCTGCTGTACTATATACAAGCACACACAAAAAAAACTATAATTGAAAGCAAAACACATATAGTCATATAATCATTTCACATCTTTATGCTGCATTCACACAATAAATGTCATCAGACATGTCGTTCAGGTATACCAATTAATATATATTTTATTATGACTATATCCTTATCGACATAACTTATCGACATAACTTATCGACAATCGATTTCGCACTATTTGAAACCGGGCTAATCAAGAAACTTAATTCATAAACCGCACAAAAAGAATCTTGCATAAAGGAAAAAAAAATATTTTGCTCTATTAAAATAAAGCTTCTATTTAAGTTTACATTTTGTATTTTTATTGTTACAATAAATATTATTATTAAATAAAATATATAAGAAATTTGACTTCATTTGTCATATATTGAGGAAGAAAAACTAATTTTAAAAAATCTCAAGAATGTTAAATTTATAAATTTTCCTATTACAATTTTTATACAGTTTCGATTTTTTTTTTCGGTTTTTAACATTATTTAAAATCAAACTTGAAATTAATATTATTTTATTATTCTATGAGTTTTGTGTAAAAAATGTGTTGTACATAAGTCGAATTTGTTCGTAAGTCGGGGGAATTTAAAAAATTCAAAATACACGTATCTTACCACACTTTGTCATGGATTGAATTTGAAAAAATAGATTAAAGTAAACAAAATACTTACTTACAAATACTTTTCAATTTAGACATCACAATTATTTAATAAAAAACGACAAAAGAAGCAAATTCAACAAATCAGATAGAGTACATCTTCCAAAAATATTATATTTTATTAAAAAAATTATCAATTTTTCTTTGGACACTTAATTTTTGTTTATTACTATATATCTCCTTGTAACAAGTTAGAGCTTTTAGAATTTTGTTCGTAAGTCCGGGAGTTTGTAAGTCGGGGGATCCCTGTAATAATATTTTAAATATCAAATTTCACTTACTAATCAATCTTGTTAGAATTTCCACTGTATTTATCTAAAGTTACTGTAATTTATTGTGTAATATAAACTACTTGTGTTTTTCATAATTATAGAATTTGAATGTTAAATTTCTCATTTGGTAATTACACCAACAGTCAAATGTTTATTTTTTAATTAAAAAACAATAAAGAAAAATTGTAACAGGTTAATTTCAAGCTATATTTTATGTAGTGTTTCAGTGAATATTCTAATTTTCAGTAAATACAATAAAAATAATTTAATACATCACGGAGCAATTAATTAAGATAATTGAAAAAGAAAAGCAAAGTATACTTGAAGAGCGTTGTATTTCCTGAAATTAACCCCTTGTGTTGAATGTCTTTTAATGGAAAATAATAAAATTCGAAAATTAGCATATTCATAAATGCGAAGTCAACGCAAGCGTGTACAATTTTTTTTTTGTTCACTTGCTTCCTTGTTCACACTTTAATGTTTGACGACGAGGAGAAGATTGTATGAAAGGGGAGGCGAAAAAGAAAAAATGTTTATTAAGATGGAAAACAAGGGCGCAATTTAATCGCAGCCGTAAATCAATTGGCCGTGTAATTAGTGCGTTTATTTTTAATTGCGCTCTAAAAAGCGCGTCCGTAGTTGTAATTAACATCCCTTTTTTTGGAAGGAAGGAAATTTGGTGAGGGGGTGGCGAATATTATGTAAATGCGGCCGCGAAGGTTTCCTGCACCTGAGCCATGATCTACATCCACCACTCCCCAAAAAAAAAATATATATGGGAAATGAGACTAAAAATAGAGGATAATAAAAGTACAATGAAAAGATGGATATAACGATGGGCAATAAAGTAATGGAACTGCGAAAGGACTTTGTTTCGTTATTAATTAAGTCTTGGGAGGGTTAGGGGAGCGGCGGCAGTCTGAGGAACAAGTCGTCTTAATAAGTTTACGTCGGATAATCCCGGGCGCCGCGTTTAAAAGGCGGATTTTGGCGGTTGAGGATTGAGAGGAAGAGGAGGATGAGGCCTTTGGATGGGAGATCTCGGGCTTCCGTCTTCGGTGGAAGGAGTTGGATGGAAGTTTGGGCATTGTTGTTATCCTCTATTCCCGATCCTTTTACCGGATTTATATATCCACTTCTCGCGGAAAAATAATGCAGAGCCGCGTCGCGTACACCACCTGCGGCTAAACCTAAAACCGGGGATTAGGTCTCTCCATCTCTTCCTTCTCCGCAACCGCTTCTCTCCTTCTTCTCTTCAGCAAATCTATCCCTCAGGTCCAGACTATCCCTGTTGCAACCCCAGCTATTTTTCGTTTACAAATTACTGAAGGGAATCATTCAATTGCGACACACGCACGCTCCACGAATATCCTTTTTTTTTNAAACGCTATATTAATCATTAGGAATATATATCCTTTTATATACGAGCAAATATTTTAAAGTTTCCAAGACAAATCACAGCTATATATACAAAAAAAAAAAGTAATTTAGATCACAATTTATCGCAAAGTTTTATGATTCTTCCATCTCATCTTTATGTTGCTAAACATAAAAATGAATACATATTGTCAATTGAATGCATTTTTCTAAATATGAAATTCAACCAAATACTTTGTTTTTGCTGAACTTTCTTAATTAAAAAAAACGTTTATATCATGATTTGTACAGAAGATTTAAAAATGATCTAGCAGGCGCGCAACCCGGGACTTCTCTTTTCATCGTCACTCGTTATGAGAAACTATGTTTTTTTTTATTTGAATAAATAAAAAATATTTCTATAATATTTCATTTCAATAAAGTGTACATATGGACAAGTTTTTTTAGATTGTGCAAGTTTATTTTGCTTATTCTGCATAGTGGTATTTACACAATGCATTTGTTTACTTAAAAAAAAACCTGGAAATGTGTAAAATAGAATACATTTTAGTTTGTATCAACAACTAGTAAATTCAATAACATTTTTTTTTGTATAGATTTAAATATTCTATTTTATTAATAATATTTAAAGCTATTATATAACCCATTTGGACATACGGCATTCAATTACGAGGGTCTTCATGTAACACTACTATCGATGTGATCCAGTGGTTCCAATCAAATACGCTGCTACCGGGCTACCATCGTATATCACAAAAGACGATATCCTTTACCGACACCAAACTAGTGAAGGAAGAGATAGTAAAATCAGCGTTAATTATCAACAACGGATATTCATCCAAACTCCCTTGCTGTGGATTGAAGATTGAAGCGTTTCAGGCCCCAAGACCTACCAAATCGTTTCGAGAATAAGTAGTTCGTGAGTG